TACAAGAAGGAATGAGATCTAGTCACTTCGGAAACATAGAGTCTCGACGTGTCGCCGGCGAATACATAAAATTTCTTGTTTGCAGGAGAGGAGAATATTTACGATTTATCCATATAGCGCCACGGCGCCATGTATTTTCGCATATTCGTTATTATATCGCGTCGTAGATTCATCAATGCCATCCGTAGTCGGTAGCTGTATCATCTTTTCATGACTCTAATTATCGAAGATCCTTCCCTCCTTTTCAGAAGGGGAATGCTGGCGACAACTATGAATAATTCGTTTTTTTTCGATCGTGCATTTTAAATAGCTATATACGAATTCGTAGCCAACAGTCTGACGTGAATGAATGATAGATCGAACCGTACCGAGAATGACGATTCCATGTTTGAAACATTAACAGATATCATCCGCTTTCATAATGTTCGGTCGAGTAATATCTTTTTTTTTTTTTTTTTTTAATTTGAAATCATCGATTAGCTCATTCGTTTATAACGGGAAAAAAGGAAAATCGTGTACGAATTTGCATTCTCGACTGTTAAATGCAAATAAAATTCTATCTATATAATATATCTAAATAGAATATTGATAATTTATATTGCAATTTTATTTAATTAAAATTAATTGAACTATTGGAAGAGGAGGGGGGAGAGGGGAATGTGCGACGCGAGATCGCGAGTATCAAAAAGCCGAAAAAGGAGAAAAGGGAAGGAGGGGAGGGGAAGAGCGAAGAGCTTTTTCTATGCCACGAGACATAGAGACGCCAAGACGTCCCACTTCCAAGCCAAGGAGTTAGAGAAATCGTGTGGGTTTCTAACTTTTTCCCCCCTCGCTATTTCCCTTTCTTTAATTCCCATCTTTTAACTCCCATCTGCAGATCTCCCTGTCCACTTTCCCTTCCCGATCAACTATTTGCTCTTCTCATATTTCTTGTTTAATTTTGCCAACAAAAGGGGACGATCGTACTTGGCCAAACTAACCTACAATGTTAACAATTCGAGATTACAATTGGAAACAATTTACTCGGTCACATTTATATAACCTCATTTTATTTTTATAGAAATTTTTCTGATATCTATCTGTTTTTGAGATTTTTGGTTACAAAATCGTGTAAACTGTGAAAAAAAAAGACTGTGAAAAGGAGAATCGACGAAATTCAATTAATATCGGAGAATGAATTAAATGATCTTTTTGGATAAAAAAAAATCGGATATCGGCATGTAGGTGTTAAAATGTTTTACGTAAATAATCGTCGACTTTTTACTCATAAATTAAATTATAATAAATTTCCACTAATGATCGCATAAATGAAATCAGATATTAAAAGCTTTAAGAAATTTGATGCCCTGTCAAAATGAAAGAAAGATATGCAGAAATCGGTATGATTGGAAGATCAAAGAAAATACAATATTGTTCGATATATCTTTAGGGAAAAAAAAATTTCCATACGCTTCGGATTTTAATATTTCAATGAATTTAACAATAATAAAAAAAAGAAAAAATTGACTGCTAAACGAAACGTCGAATTTTTTTCATAGGAATAAAGAAAAATACATTTTTCATAATCAGAAATTTTATATTATGAATATATGTTTATAGATCTTGACAATCGACAAACTAACCTTTTTTTTGCCCAAAGCATCATTCTAATTACTCGAAAAAGAATATTAATTCTTATAATTCATTTTTCGAACGAACGTTGATTTCTAATAAATCGTAGGTTATGTTAACCTCATTATGTTAATAACATTCGATTAATTGTTTCTCGTGTCACATTTTCTTTAAGCAAACAATGAATGATTCCAGTGAAAAAAAAAAAAATAATTTTGACACTATCACATTTTTTTGAAGAGAAAGAAGCGAAAATTGTCTCGTGAAATATACACGAAAAACCTGTTACTTCGATATTTTATTCTTCGCTGTGAAACATATTACCATTATCGGTTTTCTTTTTTTTTTTTAATTCTTTTTTTTTTTATCTTTTTAATCGAAATTAAATTTAACAATTTCGAAATTGATACGTATATAATAATTAATCTATATCGAGTAATAAGATCGTTATAGAAAATATTCGTTTCTGACACAATGATACATGTTTTTTTTAAACGAAGAAATATAAACGAGAATATCATTGGTCATGTTAATAATACACATTTACATGGAAGTATTGTGATATATCTGAGTTTGTAGAATATATACGCATTTCGAAGATTACAGGCAGTCTTTTTCAATTAAAAATCCGTTGCCTTCATTTTAACATACTATTGGTACATGTTTTGTCAAACAAATAAAAATATGTTTCGCTACTACCGTGCATTCGCAAAACCATTGAATGTTGTAATGGAAAATATAATACTTACATCACGAATCAATAAGTGTAAATAAATTTTTTTTGAATTTATATAAGATTTCTGCATTTCTATATAGAATTTCCTTGATTAAGGAAAGAAATATGATTATTTTTAAAGAAAGAAAGAAAAAAAAGAGTTTTGAAACACAAACAAATTTTGTTTTTCGTTTACTCAAAGTCTTTCTTATAAATAAGAAAGAAAGAAAGAAAGAAAAAAGAAAATTTAAGGTTATTAGTAAATTGTGTAAATGCTTTTTCAAGTATATCGTCAATTGTCGATCAATTTGCATAATTTCTGCAATTGCGATGGCCACCAATTAGCTAAAATTAACCATGTGCAACATTATCGCGTCACCACCTACTATCTATACTCCATTCAGTGGTTCCTTTGATAAATTTCAAATTAATAGACGAATGTTGTCAAACGATATTTGCAAAATAATTTACTTTTCTTTCTGAAACAATTTCACATAATAAAAATGAAATAAACAAAAAAAAAAAAAAAAAAAAAAAAAAAAAAAAAAAGAAAAAAACAATATTTCCCTCGACTTAGTATTATTATTATTATAAACCATTTAAATTGGTAAAAATAAAAAAAAAATTATTTTTATAATGTGTGGTAGAATAGAAGGATAATATAACGTAAATCTAAAAAAAACATATATGTATATTTTTTTTTTTTTGTTGTTAAAAGAACAAGTTCAATCGTTTCAGAAACATTAAAATGCAAAGTGGATAGATAAGCATAACTTGGTCTTAGTTTATAAGATATCGCTTTACATCTTGATTGTATGCAAAATTGTTCGACAAAACACCCGGAAGATACAATTTATCTCTATGTATCGTTTTGTGTATCAACCCCGCTAAACATCTACTTGTACGACGAGTATGGGAGTTTAATCGATAACCGGATCATCAATTTACATTCTTTTTAAAAAAAATTCTTCCGTGGGACTTCCCACGTATAAGTGATCGGCAAAATCTAAATCGAATCACGGCAACACATATCCTCTTAGGAAGTGCTATATACGTGAATTGGAAATTGGTTAATTGACCCCGATTAGAAACGAATCAGAGGTAAATTGTGTGGAACCGCGCATGATTATTACTAGTATTATAAACTTGATAAAATTTACGATATTAAAAGTAATGCGATACTACTAAGAAAGATCATTCGAAAAATTCGTATAAATTTTTTTTTAACATCGAATCGATCTATTTTATTTTCATACTGAATCATTGATTATTTTTATTTGGATAAATAATGGCAATCATTCTTTATTAATATTTCAAGGATAAAATCATAAAAGCAAGTAAATTTACGATGTTTATATTTGAGATGTTACTATATTTTTGAATATTTTTGGATCGATTTTAGACACCAAAAAAAAAAAATATAAAAAATATTGATTATTTATTAAATTATTAAAAGAAATTTCAATTGTTTATAACTTAATAGATAGTCTAAATTTTTGTATAGTAATTTTTATTTTAGCCTCTAATGAGCCTTTTTTGAAAATATTCGAAAATTAATATTAATATTCCGTATTAATGCAACATGTTTTCTAGAAAATCAATTGAGAAACTTGCCCTTTTCAATAAATGCGATGCATTTCTGTATATCTTTTATTCTAAGTAAATGAATTTTCGTAGGAAATATACGTAAATTTGCCACTTAAATTTTGAAACCTGTTTTGAAAATCTGATATTTTCCACCCGACAATATTATTAAGCGCTGTTCGAAACATTCGTTGGCAAAAATAACGAGAACCAGATGTCGAAAAGAAGAAATTGGCACAAATTGGGTGATACTCTACGAACATGTTCTTTCTTTTTTCTCCATCGAATTGAAAATAAATGGAGATCTGATATCGATTTTATCGAATGAAATCGTCTCGTCCTCTCGATTGACAAGATTTGAACATAAAGATAGATTTTTTCAATCGCATATTTAAATACATGCGAAATTGATGTCTTAAGTTTTCATTGATAATGAATAAGAAAATGAAAAAAAAAAAAAAAAAAAA